GCTCAATGAATGTATTGACAGTCATTACTAATTGCTAATTACCGAATAATTGCAAGGCCACACAGAATAGGTCTCTCACAACATGAGAGACTATTGCTTAACGAAGCCTGTCTGTATATTTTGATAGCGTTCATTATCTCTCTGACACCCATACATGAGCCACCTTCAATGTTTTTGTAGTGTACAAGGTTTCAAGTGTTCATCATCATCAATAATATCATTAAATGCACTCTCTCTGTTTAGGTGGTAATAAATTTAAAACACTGAGTTATGACTTGCGTGCTCCAGAAATCGCTCCATGCAGTGGTGGATCGCTCCATGCAGTGGTGGATAGCATATAACCTACTGTCAGGGGCAGGGGTGGATTGAGGGGAGTGGCCGGCCATGCCTTCCCGCTATTAGAAAGTGAAAAAAAAAAGGAAAAAGAAAGAAAAAAAAATAATGATCGCGTAAAACGCCTCAGAGGTTATTTCCAGGGGTCTAGAAAAAGGATATTTCCCGGACCACCTAGGTAGTGTCTCTCAATCGCGTCCGCCACCCTTTTGTACACCTCTGGATCCGTCCCTGGGAGGACCAAGCTGTTTGATAGAGGTCTAAGCAGTGAAGGCGACGAGGCCTTGGTAGGGTTCATTGACCAGAAAGCCTGGCCAGCTTTTTGTCCTTTTATGCCGTTTGAGACATTTAAAACTTTTTATGTTAAATACGATTGGTAATATTATCAAAATAATATTGGTAATATCCAAGAAGTGAATTTTCTTTTTTGAATCTATGATTTATGGATGATGACTATGGCGTGCTTGGCATGTCCGGCGGACATTACCATAGCATTATCATTAATATTATATTTATTATTATATTTATTATTATATTATGTATTATGAATGTTTGGTAAATTATAGTATTAATATATTTTTAATGGAATATATTTGAAAAGCATTAAAACAAAATTCAAACTTGTATCTCTTTTTCATATCATATCTTCATTACCATACTCCTTCTACTTATAACATCAGCATTTTACAACTGCTCTAATTTTTATGCATTAAGATGATTTAACAGCATTAAAACAAAATCCAAGCTCATGATGCACTTTTTCATATCTTCATTAATACTTTCTCAACTAATATATCAGAATTTCACAATTGCTTTAATTTACCATTCTTCAACACACCTGTACAGGAAATTCATACGTAAAAAACGGCGCATCTCACCTGCAAACGAGGGAATGTACGTGACATTGCGACATGATTTGAATTTCCAATTTATTTTCGCTTTACCTTGATCATTCCTCATTAGGCACCATGGGGAACAATTGAATGCGAATTCAAACCTAAAGTGTATCATTGCAATTCCATATTAAATCTGTTTTGGTTACGCAGAATTCATTGAATCCTCTGGGTAACATGTCGTTAACTCTAATGAGGTAAAACCGTAATTATTTTTCTAATAATGGCCTTTGTGCTCAGACACACCTCGGATACAATTTCATGATATTTACTGTGGTAAATTTAGGATTATACATGTAAACGTTTCATCAGTAGCCAATGATGGCGTTACCTTAACAGCAGATGGATTAAGCTAAAAGTCAGAGGCTTACGCACTCATATAATTTTTATTAATAATAATTACAGGATTTATGTCGCACATATATCCATTTCAGAATTAATTTCTCTTGGTACTTTTATCTGGTCATTTATACAGAATCAATTACATACAATATGCACCTCCTCTGCAACTAATCCACAATTAAGGCCTACAGTACCGGTACCCAGTTTCATTCCAACAAGCCAGTATAATGAGATACAGATTTTTGAATATTAAATAACTGGGGAAAAAGGTCGAAAAAGGGTGGGGGGTTAGAAAAAATGTTTTTCCTCTGGAGCCTGATTTTAATAAAGGGTGGGGTTTCTATGAGAGGAACTAGAGGTCCAGGGGTAAACCTACGCACCCTGATGGGGTGCAAAGTAAGAGGTCATGTCACGTGTCAGAGAGGCAAGTGTCTCAAAGCTAAATTCCATCATCATTTTGATGTTTTTTGATGTAAGACTCGATCCAGTCTGTATTTCTAATATAATTGCAATAAATTTCACTAAAAATAACCGAATACATAGGTACGCTACAAGACGGTCCTCCACTAACCCGTAACCCGTACAAAACTTTGGCCCCATTTTATGGAATTCTCTCCCCACCACAATTAAAGATTCAATCTGCTCCCATCAAGCTCCCATCTAACAAAGTACCGGTACTGCGCAGGCATATTTCTGAAGGATGCAAAATAGGACAAAGTTGAGTCAACACAAATTATGCGAAGTAGGGTGTACGGAAAAAATGGCCCCAGAAGACTGGTAGGTCAAGAAGGCCCCAATAATAAAATTCAGTAATAAAAATAATTTTTTTTTTAAATCTTCGAATTATTAAATGCTGCAAAATAACAAGAATAATAAATAAATGAATCAACATAAATCATATGCATTTTCTAATACTAAAATAATTTAGTTTTGGGCAGTTTCACGGAAGCGGAATCACAATTTGCAGCAATTTTTAACTTCAATTTGGGCAAAAATATATTGTTATGAAACTCAAATTATTTTTTTTATGATTCCTTCAATAACTAATATAAATGACAACTTATTTGGTTGGATTATCGAAAAAAAAAACTAACTTATTTTAGTTTTCAAAAATGCATATGATTTATGTTGATTTATTGAATCATTTGCTATTTTACAGCATTTACATAGTCTGAAGATTTAAACAAAAAGAAATCATTGTTATTACTGAATTTTATCATTGGGGAGCCATTTTTTGATTTACTGATTCAATTCTTGCTATTTTACAGCATTTAAATATTTGAAGATTAAAAAAATCATTTTTATTACTGAACTTTATCATTGGGGGCCATTTTTACTGGGGACCATTTTCCAGGGGCCATTTTTCCGGGCCATTCTTTCATGGGCCATTTTTTCCTACAACCTCAAAGTAGAGCATGCATGTAGATCTCTTAAATCCCATCCATCTGTGTGGCATCTTTTCAACAAGTGAAAGCTATGATAATATGGGTCACATAAACTGTGTTACATTAACTACTAAACAAGACAGTAAAATAGGAAGCTATGAAATGGCCATACATTCTGATTTCAGTAATCACCTGTAGAGGACAGAAGTTCAGCAGTGACTAAACATTCTTCAACTATGATGTCATTTTGTCTGAAGTAGTCTCTCTCCCATCATTTATGTTTAGACATGAGTCATTCTGTAGTCATCTACAATATTTATTTATTTACTTGTAATTTATTTACCCAGGATAAAATCACATTTAAGTCTTAAAGCTACCAAGCAAATAACACTAACTACAAGAACGAGTAACATAGTTTCCAAATTTTCCCCCAAAAAATCTGTGAGATCTCATGTTGTGTAGCAACTCGCCACTGGCTGGGGGCCAGGGGGCTGCCTAGGGCCCCGGTGGAGGGGGAGTGCAATCTGGGCATTTTCACTACTGATTTGATTGATCTGGGACACTGAATTAAGTCAAATGTATGTAAACCTAATAAAACCAAAAAGTTATACTCATTTAAATTTGACCAATGTACAGTACTGTAAACTAAAGATCAATGTTGCTTTGTACCCGACAGCTGCTTGGTGTAAAATTAAAACATTTTTTACGGTGTCTGGTCTTTTTAGGATGGAAAATCGTGAACCTTTTATTCATGATGTACAGATTGTCATGTGAAAAACAGATAAACAATCAAACCGTCCGTGGTGCATCAATGTGTAAAGGGCGTTGTTTCTTTACTATTCCAACGAGCGTACTGGCCTTGCACCATCTATAGTCTTACTTTTTGCTACACCCTGGCTACACTAAACACTTAGACAAATGGCAAATGATTTATTTATTGCATATCTGTATATATGCCGTTCGCAATTCATAATTTATTATTTAATTAATTTATTTATTTATTGGTGTAAAAATCTTGATCTGTGAGTAACCTTGAAATCTGTGATTTTTTTGTTTCATCTTTAGTAAAACTGGCAAATGATTTTTGTTGTTATTTTTACACACTTTTCAAACATAGATAATTATTATTGTACTGCAATATACTATTACTGTATTAGATTTGTTGGTTTTTCTATTAAAAAAAAAAAACAAAAAAATCTCAATGGACATTATATCTGAGCCTCAATTTGTAAGCAATTTCAGCCTCAGTGTTTTTATAAAATGTGTTCTTATATTAATAGAAAGTGAAAAAAGTGTAGTTGGAAAAAATGTAAAACATCACAAGATGTTTGTTTTTGCAAACAACTTCTCGGGACCTGGCCTTCTTCCAATTTTTGCATTTTGTATTTGTAATTTTGTTTTTCTAAGTGCATTTGGAAGAAAATAAATGTTTTGTTGAATTGAATTGAATTTGTGATATAAAATGGATACAGTAGGAAGAACGACAAAGTTGGACAAATGGATATTATCATTTATATCTTAAAATAAATTGAAATATTTTTAAAATATGTGAAAAATTCAAAATTAAGTTTTTTAGTATTTTTAGATTCTGTATGAATCTTCTTTAAAACAGTGTTTATTTGATAGAGATTGTTTGGGTATTAGCAAAGTTATGAGTATTGAATTCATTGGATATCAGCCAGGTAGGTTTTGAGAAAACAGTTTTAAAGATTCCAAAATCAATAGTTTATAATAAAGATCTTTATTTCAAAAATATATCACCATATCTTCTTTTGGTTAATTGTTGGAAATTAGAAATTGCGACAAATGGAGGGTTTTGCCAGAGCTGGTCATATATATGCATTTGTTTTAAAACATTGATTTATTGAGTTCATTTTTACCTATGTGGAAAATGGACTTGTCGAAACATATGACCAATAGCTGTTTAAAATTAATAGAATGTACATAAAAGCTGTGAGAACTGCTTAAATCACTGCAGGACTCTACCAACACATAGAGTTCTTGAGCACAAAGGAAGTAGTCTAAAATACAGTTGGATATTATTATGGACCAGAGGCAATTTCAGTTTTACCCCCAGTCTATAGTATCGTTTGACACATCAAATTCAGTAGATGCAAGCTACACTGATTTGAGGTCATCTAATTTGATGACCCATTATTGAATATTCAATTTAATCACATCTTCAGGCATCCCCAATTAGACAGGATAACACAAAGGTGAGAAAATATAGACTTGTATACCTTATCACATGATGCAATCGTACTGTACTATGTTATAATTGCTTGACTCGCATATCTTTGAAGAATTGTATCTTGGAATCTTGGATTGATCTAAGTAGAGTACAGGTAAGTTAGCTTTCTTTGCAAAACTCGGTTTTGGAATGCTTTTCAACTGGTTCGAAACTCGGTGCCAATATTTATTGGGTTCTTGTATGAGATTCCTTACTCCAATTACCTTGAGTTCTTGTGTTCGAGTGAAAATACTCTAATTACATTGAGTTCTTATGTGAGTGAGACTCCTTTACTCTAAATATCTTGAGTTCTTGTGTGAGTTGAGACTCCTTACTATAATTACATCGGGTAGTTCTTGTGTGAGTGAGACTCCTTTACTCTAAATATCTTGAGTTCTTGTGTGAGTTGAGACTCCTTACTCTAATTACATCAGGTAGTTCTTGTGTGAGTGAGGCTCCTTACTATAATTACATCAGGTATTCTTGTGTGAGTGAGACTCCTTAATTTAATTACCTTGAGTTCTGTGTGAGTGAGACTCATTACTCTAATTACCTTGAGTTCTTGTGTGAATGACCTTACTCTAATTGAGTTTTTGTGTGAAACTCATTCTTTGCCAAAAACACAGACATGAAATGAGACTTAATACAACATCGACAAGTGCCCTCTTTGCAGCAATAGCTTAGTGTCAATTCCTTAGCTCAATATTAAACCACTCTGTAGTCTATTGATCCTATCACAGAGTCAGGGACATGATGTTGCCAATCCAGTGATGTCTAGGGGCAATTAGCATCTTAGATCAACTTCTAAGCTTGGTATAATTGATTATGTCACAATCAAATTAGTACACTAATCATTATCTAATCTCGACTAAGACTCTACATTTCCAGATCTTGTAATAATAATTAAATTATAAATAACTCTTCTATCATAGATTATATTGATTAAATACATAATGAAAATTGATTGCAGCATTTTGCACCATAAATATCAACTGTTTAATAAGTAATAAATGCAGATGATATAGATATTTGACCTTTGACATATTCATGCACTGTTGAAACTACCAGAGAGCTTATTAAATACATAATGAAAATTGATTGCAACATTTTGCACCATAAATATCAACTGTTTAATAAAATAAATGCAAATGATATAAATATTTGTCCTTTGACATATTCATGCACTGTTGAAACTACTAGAGGGCATATTAAATACATAATGAAAACTGGTTGCAGTATAATATCAACTGTTTAATAAGTAATAAATGCAGATGATATAGATGTTTGACCTTCGACGTATTCATGCGCTGTTGAAACTACAAGAGGGCTTATTAAATACATAATGAAAACTGATTACAGTATAATATAAACTATTTAATAAGTAATAAATGCATGAAAAAGATGCAATATACAAGAGGGATTTATTCTGGTGTGATGATATTCCAAAGACATTAGACATCCTTCGGCAAGTGAGAAACTCCTGGGATATATTCTATATAGTATTATCAATAACAATATCAATTCAGGATATGATAAATGAATAATCATTTTAGTGCAGAAATGTAATTCATACAAATTAATATTCACACAGTAAAACAAAGTTAATTTTCAATGTGTGTATGCATCAGGAAAATATCATAGGGGTGATGTTTTGCCTTCATTTTTATAAATTTTTTTGTTTTGTCTTGCATGTTATTAAGTAGATTTCAATTTGGACGACGCGGCATTCTACGACGGGCAGTGGAGCGTGAAAACATACTGCGCATGCGAATACATGGGGAAGTCGTTCGTTGCATGGATTTGACAACAGGCTTTAAGCAATTTGGCGTTGTGTTGACTACGGTAATGTGAGTTTTATAAATACGTGCTCGCTGAAGCGCCTGCATAATTGATCACGCGATATGAGGGAGCGCGTCGTCCTGTAAATCGAAACAGTTTGATGTTGAGACGGGAAGTGCATAGTACGACGTTCATGGTTGACTGAATTCTCCGTCGCAGCTCCCCGCATCACCCATTTCGAAAGTTCGCTATTGTACTGAATTCTCAGTACGTCACCAAGTGCAAGATTTGTGACCTAGTGGTTATGGCAACAGGCTTGTTTTCTAGAGGTTGTAGGTTCAATTCCCACACAAATCACTTGCAAATGTTTTTCATCAGTATATAAGAATTTAGTGTATTCAGTATAACACCTCAGGTAGGACAAAACATCAATCCTATATTTTCCTTTGATGATGCAACCTATATAATTATAATCTAAAAATCCAATAGTTATAAAAATTACCATTAAAATAAAACATATTTGTTTGTCCATCCATCAATAATTTAATTAATTAATTAATATTATTATCTATATTATTAGTTATTTTGCCAGGGTTTAGCCTCAGTTTTGCTGTGCAACTTTCTCATTTGGAGTAAAGTGATTAGACTGATCCCTACCCTGGAGGGAAAGTTCTGTTATAATGCAGTAATGGTATGCAACTCAGTAAAGACTCCAGTGGAGCAACATCACAATGTAATTTCCTACTTTATGATTTCTAGTCTAGATTGTTTAGAATGCTGTAATCTCGTTCCAGTTGAAGCCTGCAACCTTGGATTGGCATACACAAGCTCAGAGCCAAGCTGTGATAATTCATAACACATTTCCTAAATTGATTTTTAAAAATAAATATTATAAATTCATTACGATGCCAAAGCAATATAGATTAATACAGAACATGAACGGTGATGTTTAATAGAGATGTTAAGCACTAATGGAGGGCAGGGCAGTTTTCTCACTGCAAAATGATTTTGCAAAACCATCTAGGTGAAAGAGAAAATAAAAATAAAATGTCATTATTAAATTAAACAGCATAGTAATGCGATTAATTATTAATTAATAACTTAGGAAAAATTATCTACTGTAAGTCTCATATTTTGATATTTCAGGGAGCAGAGGCCATAATAAAAATTACTCACCAAGCCAATTTTTCCGTCATTATTTTCTGGAATTAGTAGACTCCAATCTGGAATTGAAAACATTAGAAGTTTTCATTATATAACAATATTCTTATGACCTCCAAGTTTGAGTATATAGGCCTACACCCTTTAAAGGGAACTAGAAAAATGATATTTTTTCTAGAGGGGATTTTTTTCATTATTAATAGATCAGAATTACGATTTACAATATTAGCAGTGTGACTTCACCGGAGGCTAATGTTGTAACCAAAAATTGTATAGCGTTGCGCGCGGCACTATATACGATCTTTGGTTACAGTAGCTTACACTGAGGTCAAGCTGCTAAAGGTTGTTGCTGAAGGGAAGCCCCTTTTCTCCATTGGGGCAAAGCATCTCGATTGGTGTCAAGGTTATTTTTATTGGAAGAACGCTGCAAATGCAACTTCAGCTACTTAAAGTATTGTATAACTTCACCTTTAATGAAAAAAATATATATATATATACTTTAGGCAATAGAACTTATCCAATTTACGGCAAATGGCACATCTGTCCATGAACTTACGAACTGAAAAAACGGCAAATATTAATAGGAATAAATTCCAGCTGACCTATATTACATGACAAAATCAAACATTAAAAGATTTTAAGCGTAGAAATGAAGCTAATATACATTTACATACGATTACAACTCATCATCGGTATTCTCGATCTGTCATTTTCATTAAAAATTATATCTATTAGGATACCAATTTTTTCTATACAAATTAAAGTTGTTGACCATTTATATGTAAATGTTAGCAAACGCATTAGGGAATAAGAGTTGATTTTTCTTGATCGCCTATCATTTCCTTTTTTATAATTTATATTGTATGGAGAGGACCAGAATAGATAAGTTGCTTCATTTATCATCTTGCTGATGATTTTGAGATTGAGGCATAGCAAGGAATTTTAGAAAGAGGGCCCTTAGGGTATGGAAAGATGCAGAAATTTGGTCAGAAGTAATCAATGGAAGAATGAAAGGAAAAAGAACAGTACAGTATACAGAAGAAGAAATATGTTTAGGCCAAATAAAAAAAAGTTACTAGTTTCTCGTTCCCTCACGCATCAATTTTCTCTACCTCACCAGTTTGTTTTTTTATTTCTTTTATTTAAAGAAATGTATGAAAATCCGGCTAAAGCTGTGTTTACACTCACGATAACGACACGACAGCAACATATCATTGCATTGTTTATATTCTTCAACACTGAGCACATTTTTATCGTGTCGTTATCGTGTCTGGTGTGAATGTAGCTTAAGTCACATCAGTAAAATTCCTCTCTCAATCATTCGTGGTTGTGGATACACATGATATGAATCATGTCTAGTGCTTTTTTTATTTGTTTTCAATGTGTCTATTGAGTAAAAGTGAGAAAGTAGTTTCTGTTTTTCCATTGACCATCTTGGATTTACCATCTCAGAGTAAAAAAAAAAGGTGCCCTCATTCATCTGTTTTCAACATATTACAGAATGAGTAACTAATTTTTTTTAAAAGGTTTATTATTACATTTTATGTCATTGCTTTGTAACTCGCCAATTACAGGATGGATTACGCTTTACAAACCAAGTCTCTTCTTGAGGCTAAGGGAGTGCAGTTGGTTTTGGTCATGAGAAAAAATCCTGCTGTCAAAGAATTGAACCCAGGACCCTGGATTTGGAGGCAAGCAAACCACTAAGCTATTCAACTCCACTCCACTTCATATACATACTTGCAGTAAATGCTGTTCACCAATGAAGAATGATTAATTTAAAAATTGTTGGAAAAAAAGTTGAATACTCGGTATCTAGAAGTCATTGAAATTGGGAGGGGAGCTAATGGTGCACGAAGATGAAGTGGGGGTTGTTGATTAGGTGAGGGGGAACTAGCTCACAAAATAAGGTGATATGAGATGATTTTTATCTACTTGAGCATAATTTTTTGGCTTCAAACATTTTCAATGGGACGGGGCCACTGTGGGGGATGCAAGTGTTTTTGTTTTTTGGGGGTGGGATGAGGAGGTCCCCAGCCTCCCCACTGTATACATTTGTTTCATATCCAACAATCAAGTAAAGTTGATACAGGATAAAGCAATAATCTATTTCACGAGGGTGTACAATTGTGTTTTATTTAGAAAAAATCTGGTGAGTCATGGATTTGAACCCAGAATCTGTCAATCAGAAAGCCTTAGAACCATGCCATCCTATATCCCCACTTACCCAGATCTCCTATTTACCTTTAAACTGTGTGGCGGGTTCAGTGATTCAGTAATTTAAAAATAAATTGTGTACATAATAAAGATCATTTATTACCTGTAGCGATAATGATACCATCTGAGAACAGAACAGTATATTTCAAAAGCAATTACTGATGTAGTTTTATTTGCCTAGCTATCCCACATAATAACCAATGAGGTATTGTATACTGTATTATGTATATAGTAATCACAATGCTTATGTAGGCCTACAATGTTGTACTGAAGCAAGTTAAATAATAATGACTGCAAAGCCTAGATGCTTTAGCATGCTATATAGAGTTAAATTGCACATTGATAGGTTTCAAGCCTACACGGCCCAAGAAAATGTCAATTTCAATTTATGGCTAATTTTAGAAGAGATCAGATGACCAAAAGGAAAGAGGTCAGATTGGCTTGACCCAGTATTTTCGAACGAGTAATATCGAACATAATTATGGAAAAGCTGCGATGACAAATTACCAAAAATACAAAATTACAAACAAAACTAGACCTACAGTCCTTAATTAAAGTAGTGATTAATGAAACGTGCACTATAATACATCTGGGATATAATAATAATATATACTTTTTTATAAGAACATATTTTAATAGAACACTGAGGCTGAAATTGTTTAAAAACTAAAGCAAAATAAAAACAAATTGAGGCTGAGGTAAATATGTCAAATGAGGTTTTTATTTTTAAATCCACTAGGAAAACCAACAAGTCTTAAGTTCAGTAGGTGTGACCAGGGAGGTGTACCTCCATGGTGTGACTATATAACACCTTTTATAAAAAAAAATATATAAATAAATACAGTACAGTAATACACTGAGCACTGTAAACCTACTATAACATTTTTTTATCTTTGAAAAAAAAAGAACAAATTAAGAACATTTTGAGCCTAAATAATAATAATAATAATAATTTTGGCTTATATAGCACATTATGCTAAAGCCTCAATGCGCTTAACAGTAAAAATAAAATTCGGGAAAAAATTAAGAAAGATACAAGTTAAAAAGGTGAGTTTTTAAAGCTGCCTTAAAATCATCAATGGAAGTTGCCTGTCGGATTGTAATAGGCAAAAAATAGGAAGACCCATGAGCCTGGCCAAAATTTTACTGGTCCTTATTTAAAAAAGTGTAGTACACAACATAAAGTTGTATGAGTCTATTAGCTACTTTAGTTGTCTCAGGACGTCGACGCCAATCAATCTTTCTCTCTAGATGTATTGCACCATTTCACTCTTCCCCAATAAATATCTATCTCATCTCTTAATCTTTTACGTTGGTTTCCCTTTTTTTTTGTTTTGCCATCCATGGTGTCTGTTACTGTTTTTTTGTTTTGTTTTTGTTTTGTTTTTTGCTTTTTTAAAGAGGCTTAATACTTGACTACAATTTATTTGTATGCCATGAAAATGCTTGCACCTAATGGCTAACACATAACCTTAGCCACTTGGCAGCCTGTCAACAATGCAATTTGGGGTATCTATACATGGCCGCCAAAAATAATAATAATAATAATAATTATATAGTGCATAACACAAAAAAGTTAAAAGATACTACTTTGTAGTATCCTAATACTACAAAGAGAACAATAACGAAAAAACGGCATGAACAGCAGAAGAATCATTTCCACTGCTCTGTTCTCCAGCACTCCAGAAATATTCTCATTTTCAGTGGCGGATCCAGGGGGGTTGAAACGAACCCTCCACTCCCCTCTGTGAAGACGTAACAAAATTTTCCCATTTCATTTTGGGGTTTTTTGAAACATTTTGAACCCCCCTCTTTTAAATCCTGGATCCACTTCTAATTTTGATAATGACCTATTAAAGAAGAATGGTATTCCACTCTGCTCAAATCATGCCAACAACCACAGTTCCAGGATTGATTGGATTATTGACTTGCTAAAAAAAAAATCTTATGATATTGAGGGGGCGCTTATTCAAATTAGAAGAGTGCACTTATTCAAAAGGGGCGCTTAAGGAAATTTTTACATTAGGGCGCTTATTTGCGCAAGTATGGTACTGTACACTGTGGATTAAGGTTCTCTGAAGGAGTTGACTATACTCAGTCTTCATGTTTTTCAGTTCATAAACTGAAATTATTATCCAAGATGACTCTTGGATAATCCTTTCAATTCTTGGCCTGTTTATAAATTAATGTTTAGTATTGTTCTCATTAGTACAATTAAAAACACTCTTCTCTTAATTAGTCTACAAACAGAGGAACGAATGAAGCTTTATTGGATTTAACATCTAAGCTGACTACACTAGCATAAATCGATCACTTCCTTCCTGGTAATTGATTTATTCTCCAGGAAACGTTCAGCTTCTGGGTATTTGACTACTACTAGGCCAACTGATGCAAGCGGTAAACATTTATTTATCTATTTCAACAATATTTTGTTAGGGTGGTTCATCCGGTCATAGGGCCTATAGGTGATAATTAGCAATTGTTGATACATGAATTTTTTATATTTTTTTCTGTTTGAATTTTAATTATTAACAAAAAGAAATAAACTTTGAAAAAGAAATATCATTATCAATATCGGTATCATCAGTAGGGCCTGTGTTGACTGGTGGATGAGCCTAGCTGAAACCCAACAAAGCCTGAAACGTACTCTTTCCTCTGCATAGTTACACGTCATGGTAGCCTTTGTTAAGTTCAGACGATGGAGGGATTTCAGACCGTGACTATTTATTTTACTTTGATAATACATAATTAGTTATGCATACCGCATATGGATAATTTATCTATCACCAAACAATCTCTTAACCTTTTACGTTGGTTTCCCTTTTTTTGTTGTTTTACCATCCATGGGGTCTGTTACCGTTTTTTTTTGTTGCTTTTTTAAAGAGGCTAAATACTTGACTACAATTTATTTATATGCCATGAAAATGCTTGCACCTATGGCTAAAACATAACCTTAGCCACTTGGCAGCCTGTCAACAATGAAATTTGGGGTATCTATACATGGCCGCCCAAGATAATAATAATAATAATAATAATAATAATAATAATAATAATAATAATAATAATAATTATATAGCGCATAATACAAGAAAGTTGCCCCTATATGCTTTACATAAAAGAAAAGAAACATAACCATGAAATATCCTAATACTACAAATAGAAAAATAACGAAAAAACGGCATGAACAGCAGAAGAATCATTTCCACTGCTCTGTTCTCCAGCACTCCAGAAATATCCTCATTTTAAGTGGCGGATCCAGTGGGGTTGAAATGAACCCCCCCCCCCCCCCCCCCCCCCTCTGTGAAGAAATGTAACAAAATTTTCCCATTTCATTTTGAGGTTTTTTGAAACATTTTGAACCTCCCTCTTTTAAATCCTGGATCCACTTCTGATTTTGATAATGACCTATTAAAGAAGAATGGTATTCCTCTCTGCTCAAATCATGCCAACAACCACAGTTCCAGGATTGATTGGATTATTGACTTGCTAAAAAAAAAATCTTATGATATTGAGGGGGCGCTTATTCAAATTAGAAGAGTGCACTTATTCAAAAGGGGTGCTTAAGGAAATTTTTACATTAGGGCGCTATTTGCGCAAGTATGGTACTGTACACTGTGGATTAAGATTCTCTGAAGGAGTTGACTATACTCAGTCTTCATGTTTTTCAGTTCATAAACTGAAATTATTATCCAAGATGACTCTTGGATAATCCTTTCAATTCTTGGCCTGTTTATAAATTAATGTTTAGTATTGTTCTCATTAGTACAATTAAATACACTCTTCTCTTAATTAGTCTACAAACAGAGGAACTAATGAAGCTTTATTGGATTTAACATCTAAGCTGACTACACTAGCATAAATCGATCACTTCCTTCCTGGTAATTGATTTATTCTCCAGGAAACGTTCAGCTTCTGGGTATTTGACTACTACTAGGCCGACTGATGCAAGCGGTAAAAAATTATTTATCTATTTCAACAATATTTTGTTAGGGTGGTCCATCCGGCCATAGGTGATAATTAGCAATTGTTGATACATGAATTTTTTATATTTTTTTCTGTTTGAATTTTAATTATTAACAAAAAGAAATAAACTTTGAAAAAGAAATATCATTATCAATATCGGTATCATCAGTAGGGCCTGTGTTGACTGGTGGATGAGCCTAGCTGAAACCCAACAAAGCCTGAAACGTACTCTTTCCTCTGCATAGTTACACGTCATGGTAGCCTTTGTTAAGTTCAGACGATGGAGGGATTTCAGACCGTGACTATTTATTTTACTTTGATAATACATAATTAGTTATGCATACCGCATATGGATAATTTATCTATCACCAAACAAAATTTATTAAGATTCCTACAGTACCTGATTATATAACACGAAAAATGTCACCGAACAGCAGTTCCAGTTACAGTATTATGGATTGGTTTTAAAACTACCGCCAATCACAATACGCGACGAGGCCACCAATCTTTGAGTATGTTCTCTGCAACTGCAGAGCATACAAACGATCGTTGTGAGTGTCTCTCGCGTTGTATTGAGGAGCGGTAGCGGAGAAGATTTTGCTTGGGTGTACATGATCGGAAGAGTCAGTTTGATCTTTTAAATTTATCGGAAACTCTACTACTTTCTGACGTTAGTCTTGTAAGTCTAAATTGTGTGCAACAGAATTACAGCTGCTTTCTTGGTAAGTAAGCTAAACCTCCATTTCTGCTAGGCCTTCCTACCACGTTGAAACATATACTCTAGCCTTCTTAGGCAAGGCATGAGTGCGTTGTGTTTTTGCTTTATATAGGTACCTGGATGTGGGTTTATCGCCTGCCTGTGTTATCATCATCACTCTCGTTTGGTCGATGGGATGTTTTTTTTTTTTTTACACTAGATTTTATCTTTCATGTACAACTAAAGGTTTAATATAAGTAGTTAAAATTGTGATTAACCAACACAACGATGTTATTGTTAATTTAAGAGCGTTTAAGGAAAGCAACATTTGTGCTAGAAAACAATAAAAATAGGCTATGCCTAAAACTAGGGGCCTAGGAAGTGAACTAGGAGGCCTGGCATCTTAAAAAAAAGCCTCATTAAGGCCACCAAGTCTTAAGTTGCCTGCCACCTAGAGTAGGACTGCTGCAAAAATTGGTATTTAGTAAGTTTAATATTTGTTTATTATATTGATAGATATTTGGTAACTGTTAGGGGTCTCAATTTGATACTACTACTGTACCACTGCAAATAATTTTCAAAGATTTCTGTATTTTTGTCAGCCAGACCAGAGAGAGGAAAGGTCATAACCAGTGGTGGCTCCAGAAATTTGTCGACAAGGGGTCCGACAAAGGGTCCAAACCAAGTGGCTGACTTGTCTATAGAGCCTGATCAGGGTCCTGGAAAAGAAATTCCTGGAAGAGCGTGGGGAGAGAAAAATTTTTCTGGCTTAATATGGCCCAAAATTGTGCACTTAGACCACACACAATATTTAGAGATTGGCAATCAATTAACGTTTTTGTATCCATAGGCAAATTAATATCTTTGGTCGAACGACCTCGTAGTGGCATCTGGCGGTGAAGGGTCCATGTCTGTCAGGGAGGTATACTTTGTATACGTTGGTTATTGAGACATGGCAAGGCCTAGTTTTCTGCAAAATTTGCTATTAAATAATGTACAATACTCTTGAATTCTTTATTTAAACCCAAAGATTAGCATCCATTACAATGCCAGTATCTGATCAAAGCAAACCTGGTATGTGAAACAGATTTATATTAATCCTGTTATATTGATTTTTAGAAATTCGCAACAATGTAAACTTTATAGACTATTATTATATTTAAAACATTAACAAAGGCTCTTAGGTAACCATGCATTAATATTCGCAGCAAGATTCTCTTGTTCACTGATGCATGCAAGTTTATCCAGGCCATGGAAAATGTTACTTCAAAGATAGTTAATTATCCACCGAATATATTATACAGTATGGATGGTATAAAAGCATTAATAAACAATGTGATTATAAAAGCTGAGTAAACAATAATGGATGATGATATTGATAAAATTATTTAAGTCATTGAGATGATTTAATGAGAACATGCTTAATTGTAATTAAATATTTAGCCTTGAGTTTATTGATTGTTTCATATATTTCTAAATCTGGTAACAAAATTAGCTGTTGAAGTTCAAACCAGCATGGACATGAAACCAATGACTTAATATATCATCAATAGCATAACATTATTACCCTGTTTCAGTCTGAGCACAATGAACATAAATCATGCTATATTTTGGAGTGGCTAGACAGAATCAACAGTCTTAAAGAATATCAACAAGGGGAGTATTCAACATTAATAACATAGCCATATGTGATTAAGAGTTTTACAAGCATTTTTCCAGCCGCAACTTTAAAACCTTCTTGATTCCAACGGTGAATAGTTCTTAAGAGTTGCTGCTGCTTTGTTTTGGTTTCTGTGTCTACTGTGGGGGTGGGGGTAGAAGACACTAATATTGTCTTTGTCTTGAAATTGACCTTGTAAGATTAAATCTGGTGGAGGAATGATGGGATTGTTCATGAGCTAAAGATAAAAATGAAAAGCAAGTTTACAAAAAAATATGATGCCATTTTGCAGTAGAAAACATGTCCTATTTACAGTACTGTAAAGTTATCAATTATTGAATTGCCAACACAGAAAGCTGCTCTAGATAAGACCTGTCCTAGAAAGTTCGCTAAAAAGTCACAACAATTTGGTATGTACTTGTACATTTATTCCAGTGAGTTTACAACACAGAAAGCATGGATGAGTTAAAAGTAGCAAAAAAAAAACACATTCAAGCAGTAGACAGACATGCTCCCTGGGAGCTTATTTTTGTTTTTTATTTCACAGGGGACAGTATATGGCATTTGTGGAAATAATTTCAGTGTACTTTGTCTGTTGGAATGTTTGAAGAGAGCATTCAGACTATGCATATAGTCTTCGGTAATTATTTACTTACTGCTTGCAAAATTTATGACCTTGGAGATGCTGACATTTCAGTGCATTACTTTGCAGTTGAGTACTGTACTCTATGGTATATATTGTACTAGTAGATATTTACCGACAAATAGTGTGGCTTACTGTTGATTGAAAACTTGTATGTATTTAGAGGTGTACTCTATACTGCCACAAACTCACTGAGTGTGATCTATTTGAAAAATAAATTTCATATTATTTTATATTTATTTAGCTTTTGCCAACTATACTTACTTAAAAAAAGAAAAAAGAATCGGTAATATTTTGCTCAGGCTCAGTATTCTTACTTTTTTGCCGATTTCAGGCTCAAAGTGTTCTTTTTTATTTTTACTTTTCAGACATAGACATATGTTGTACTGTACAGTTATCAGTGGGCCTATATTACTATAATGTAGAGGTATTACATAGTAACACTTACTACACATAAGGTACAGATAAGATTTGTTGGTGTTTCTAGTTTTAAAAAAATAAAAAACCTCATTTGACATTTTACCTCAGCCTTTGTTTTTATTTTTTTCTAAATTTTTAAGAGATTTTAGCCTCAGTGTTCTTATAAAATGTTGTCTAAAAAAGTGTACATTATAGGCTTGGAAACCATAAATGAGTTTAATTAGAAGATGAAATATAATTCAAATTTATTTCTCCTGTCTAAATGAACTGCTCAAAAGGGGAAAAAAAGAAATGTTTTATTATTTGTAACAAAGATTATTTGTTACCATAGAAATATAGTAATATGTCCATGTTCCAACACTTTTGTCAAAAGTGTAATAGTAATTGGTAAATACTATAGGTATAAACATAATTATGATCTATTTTTATTTGCCAGCTCAGCTAATATTATTCTGTGTTCCTTAAGGGCATACTTTAATTTATATTTTTTAAAGTGGCTATTTAACCTAGGTCATTATGGCAGGCATTTTGGTGTTTAGATAGCAGCACCATGTATCTACTTTACTATTATTTGCTGATGTCTGAAGTAATATAGGCCTACTGTATATTTTTGTGTACAAAAATAGCAAATTACAATTGAAAATCAGGGTGTCATACACGCAACATATACTAATGTTTGCCTTATGTGCAGATCGTCCATAACATGCAAATTTACTTCTGAAATTAAGCTACTGTTAGTATGAATGACTGTAATTTTAAATGTTGGGCAATAAGGTTTTGATGAACATTTTCTGTCTAATTTTTAATTGAAGACTTATTACAAATTAAAGTAATTCAAATATTTTTATTTCCAAGTTTTTTTTAGCTCTACATCTAAACACAGACAGATTTTCTGCTGTAAACTTCTTGCGATGTCAAAATTTATTCTAGCGATCATTTTCACAGGGCTGAAGTGGGCCTTAGTGGATAGAAGAAACCCCAGCTGAGCTCTTGTTTCCTATAAGCCTCTCATATTATTCACAATTACCTCCTTTAGCTGCATCCTAATGGCCCTTAAAAATCCTCATTTGAGGCTGGTTAGAGTGTACCTAGAGCAATGTAATGCCTAGCTGCTCCATTGTGAAACTTACTGCATTTCCAATAAAGCTACAATAATGGTTATTATAATCAATCGTGACGTCATTGCTACAACTTCTTATGCTCTTTCTACAGTATCCCTAACCATGCACTAATTTTTCATTAGTGCACATAACTTTTTTGGTTCATGTGCAAATGGCCTTTCTACATTTTTTCATGCATTAATTCTAACCTTCGTATACTAATTTTCCGCTAGTGTATTATGCATGGCATGCTAATTGCTTATTATCAACGATGGCTCCAAAAATTTGCACCAGGGCATCCATCAAGTCCAGCAGAAGTGGGGGGGGGGGGAACGGAGCAAAGGGACCACAGGCCTCGGGTGAGGTCAAGTGTTTGAAACTTCTGGTTAGATTAAGGGGTGTATCTTTTTTTTACATCTTTTTCCTCTTTCATTTATTTCTCCCATTTATTTCCTTCCTTTTTCTTCTCTTTGTGTTTTTCCAATACTCTTCCTCCATTTTGTAACTTACTCTGCTTGTCTGTAACAAACATAAAATCCATTAATCAAGACTGAGAATTGTATGATAGCAAAAGGCAATAGTGTTCAAGATAATGTATGCTTTACTTGCTGTTCTATAAATAGTCCAGTAAATTGGACTGAATTAAATGGAGTTTGTCATTGGAGAAGCAAAAGCCAGCAATTTTATCGTTAATCTGCTCAAGTGTTTGAAAATCGTGAGCTTATATTTAAACATTTTATAAACATTGTTCCTTTTCAGGTCTAAATTCTCTAATTTATTGTGTTTGTGGTAAATTATGTCTGTCATGAGCTAAAGAATTGAAAAATGAAGGTCCATATTTGAAGCAGCTTAATTTGTATATTTACTGTAAGTTATTATTTACTGTAAGTAAGTTATTAACTTACATTTTTACATTTACAAATTAGAATATTAAAAGATGTCCCTGTCAATTAATGATTCTTTGTATAGACACTTAAATTGACTGAAAGTAATTAATTTAAGGATTTTTGTAGATAAATGTCTGTACACCCCTCCTCTACAAGCAAGAAAATTATGAAAACATGTGGAAGACCTATTAATAGTAAGCCAGTTTTGTGATCTTGCCATCTTACAGATTCCATTCACTTATAATTGGTACCTTAGGCCCTGCCTTTCCCACCTTCTGAGCAAGTTATGCTATGTTTACACTTCTAACAATCG